GCCGGTACGCGGCGTCGGTGCAGGTCCGGTAATGCGCGCACTCTGCCAGCAGCCGAGCCGTGGGGTCTGGCGCGCATCGTTTGGCGGTGGCTGAGCGGTTGATGATACGGGTCTCGGAGCGGTGCCTCTGTTCCAGCGCCTTCTGCAGGTTCTTTATCTGCAGGTGAAGCTCTTCGACGTGCTCTGTCTCCTTGCGGCAATTCACCACGGCCTTGTTCTGGATATTCTGAGCCCGGCTGGCGTAGTTCAGCGTATTGAGGCTCTCATCGAAATCAGAGGAGGATGGGCTGACACAGGCTATCATCACGGTCTGGGCATTCCCCCCCAGAGAGTCTTTCAGGATCCTAGAGAAGACCACAGTGATTAAAATAGCTGAAATTCAAAATAATGCAGGATCCAGGAAGTTTCCAGTCTTTTTCAGAGGTTAAGCCCAAGGAAAACGATATTCTCGCTCTGTGGCCAGTTTGGCACTACTGAAGTGAGCAGAATCATTAAGCAGACGAGTAACAGTTTGCACCGTTTCCATCTGAATAATTCCCAGTGCTGGGAGCTCCCTCAACTCTGTGATCACTGCTAGGTGCATGCTGCACAGGAACCTGTTGGAGACTGGAAAGGCCAGCTGCTCGAGGTAAAAACTAACTGCAGGCCATCAAACAAGCCTACCAGAGTGGTTTTTTATTCACTGCCAGGCAGGAAGGGGCAGGATAATCCATGCTGACATCCCATCTCAGCTCTGGCAGCGTGATTTAAGCAAGGCTTGTCTTTAGCAGCACTGTGGTGAGCTAGTCCCTCATTTCTGTCCTGGCCTCATTGCTCCTCAAGATTCCCTGTATGAACACCCCCCCCCCCAGAGGGTAGACCTGTTAAACTGCCATGAGGCACAGCGGGTCAGCTGGCCCTGTCCCATCAAGCAGTCAGTCTGAGAGCCCCAGTGGGAGACCAGAAAGGACAACTGGCCCTGCAAGCTCCTCTTGGCTAGCCTGGAGGTGCTGCCACCCAGCCTGGCAGGCTGGGCATGGGAAAGGCAGGGAGAAGCATTACCTGCCTCCTGCTGGGACAAGAGCCTATGAGATAGGCAGAGCATGGGGATCCTTGTCCCAACTGTACCTGGTGATTTTGGAGTCTCTGTAGGGGATGTGGCTGCTCTTCCTCCGAGGGTCTCCCAAGGCACTGATGACGTTGCCCAAGGCCAGGAGGCCACTGTTGATCTGGATACTCTCTTTCAGCCTCTCCCCTGTGTTTCCCGTCCCCGCCCCCGCTGTTCCATGGTCACAGTGAAGATGGTGTGCGAGCGGCTCGACTGCCTGTTGATGTGGGTAGCTCCCGTGTGCTTGGCTGTGTTCCCCATCTCCAGTAGGCTCAGCACCTCATCCAGCCCTTCCACTTCTGACTCCTTCACACCACAGAGCACTGCAATGGCAAACGGAGCTGTGGCTGGGAGGGATGGGCTGCCCCAGGACGCAGACCCTCTGCACAGCCTGGTGCCACCACCCTGCCCATACAGACCGGCTTTCAGCACCGAGCAGGACTAAACACAGCAATCTGCTGCAGGAGAGGGATGGAGGGAGAAGACCTGGCTCTGCCCTCAGGGACAGGAAACCCAACACTGGCCTTCTGGCATGGGGAGAAAAGGCACCCTATGAGCAGCCACACATACCGATGTTCCCCTTGTCATCCTCCCGGATCTGGATGTCTTTGCTGGCTGTATCCACCTGCAGCAAGTCCCGAAACTCCTCCTTGTACACCTCCAGGTAGGACACTCGGACTGTGTAGTCAATCAGGTCATTCTCATCGATGAGCCTGAAGGTCTCAGCCATGGCTCGTGGGATGATGCCCTGCTCATCTTCATTGATGGAAGCTGGTGGAGAGATGCACGTGGTCATGGGGAGCAGCGACTGCCCGGGGAGCCTGTGCTGGCCGGGGACGGAGCCGCGGGCAGGACCCTGCCTGCAGCACACGTGCCAGCTGGAAAGGAGCAGCTTCACCACCCTCCCACAGCTCAGCCCTCGCAGCCCAGATTAAACATCCATCCCTCTGAGAGTTTTTTAGGCCCCAGGGGCTTGGAGCAAACCCTATCCCACTGCTCCCTTGCACAGCGTGGCAGATTCCAGCAATGCTGCTTGTTTCCAGTCCTTCCTCGAGAAGAAAAAGGGGCGTTAGCGTTTCAGCAGGTAACAAACGCCGTGCCTGCAGCTCCAGCATGCTGTCCTTTGAAACCAGTACAAGTCCGCAAACTTTCCCAGCTCCAAAGAAGGTTTTTACGTGCTTGCAGCCTGCTTGTATCTGTCCACTGCACTCTGCCATCTGAATTTTAAATGGTTTTGGTTTCCAAGTAAAAGGGCAATCCCCAAATTTGGTGCAATGTTAGCCTGAACTGGGAAACTGAAAATAGAGGTAGATTGAAAGTATGGAAACAATTCAGTGTTTATGAATTATGCAGCTAAGTACGGCTGACCAAACCACTTACAGTACATCCTCTGTAAGGTATCAATACCATTAAACGAGCACTTACACGAGGGAAAGGTTTCCAAGAACAAACTAACAGGGTTATCCCCCGCAAACCCCCTCTCCTTAGGGCTTATTTCAGGACAAAGCTGGTAGAGCCAAGCCAGCAGAAAGCAGCGGTGCCCTAGGAAGATCACCACCACCTCCAGACCAGACACAGTCCTCTCGCTTATCCTGCGGTGGCAGAGGAGGAAACCTACGTGCTGTCATCCCAAAGAAGGTGGTGTCCATGGGGGGTTGTTACAGCGGGGTGGGTGGTGAGGGGGGAAAGGCTGTTGGGGTGGGCAGGACGGGGATGGGTGGTGTGG